TTATTTTTATCATTTTTGTTTTGGATAAAAGTGCTTTGATATACTTTTTTACTAAGCCAATGTAATGGTATGTGAGAAAGACCTTGAGAAATGGGCAAAGGGATGCATAGGGAATGATCCATTGATGGGTTTCCTTTTTTTTTACTATTGGTTTGCTTGTGCGTGTGCGCTTATGTGCAGAAGCATCTGGGCAGATGGGCGGAGCCTCCCGCCGCCGTTACTCCCATTTTGCCCGAACCGGGCCGAACCGGGAGCAACCCACCTCTGGTGCAATCCAACCCTCACTCCTCAGGCTGTAAAGGAAACATTCCTAGTATCATTACTTAAACAGTGATCTGTATATATTGATTTCCAGAATACTGTATGTCCCAATTATTCTTTCTTTTAATGAGTAAAATGTTGCAAAAAGTAAGTTGGCCATTCTTCTCTTCCATTGTAAATTGAATATTTGGGTGGACATTATTCAAGTGCTCTAGAAATTTCTTGAGCAATTCCTTACCATTAATCCAGGTCACAAAGGAGTTATTTACATACCAAAACCAAATGGGTGGTTTTAAAGACGCAGTGTCTGGTACCTATTGCTCAAATTGCAGCTAAGCAAATGGCAATAGGATATGATGTATGGCAATTGATGGCATTCACAAGGGCATAATAAAACAGACTCTTAATGGATCTTTGGAAACCCATACAGACACTCTGGAAAGGCTTCTACCTTGGAAAGACTTGTGCATCTCAGATGAAATTGATCCATAAAAAGGGATGTTACCAGCTTTAATGTCTGCTTCTGCTTAATTATAACTGAAAGAGATTCCTGTATTTGCCATAACTGAGGATCAGGATATCAGGACTAGTTTTCACAAGACTGGGAAACTAAAATCACCCATATCCTGAAATAGGAATATGTATTTAAGGTTATACCTGTAATATCACAGTAGACCGTCTGAAGATACATCCCGGCTTCTTGTGGTCTGAACATCACACTGATTTCAGTTGTAGAATTGGGCCAAACATCTCCCTCCTAAAGAAAAATAGAATAAAGACAATGAATATGAAAGCTCAAGGTCTGTCTTTCAGCTCTGTTTTTTAAAATTCTGGAACAGACACATGAAAATATTACTAACATTATTCTGGATGACAAAAGGGGCTGAAAAGAGGCCCAAATAAATTTTTTAAACTAAATGATGCAGGAAACAGCACAACTGAACCTGCTTCTTCTTAGACTTTGATAATGTCTGAAAAGGATGTGAGAACAGTCTTACTTTTTTGTTTTTGTTGCTCTGCAGGTTCACCTTCTGTACTCAAAAACCATTTTGTACAACCATGTAACTGGATTAAAAACCAGAAATATATACTGTATTTTCCAAAACAATAAAATCATATGGCTTAATT